GAAATTATATGAGAGAGTAATTCGAATTTTTCATCGCCGTACTGCGCAAAAATTACCGTGCTCGTTTCTTCTTTCTTCAAAAAACCAAAAAATTGGTCCTGAAATTTAAAAAAATACGAAAAAATAGCTAAAAAATGGTCGAATTTTACATGTGTAAATAATTTTTTTTCCTAAAAATCAAAAATGAACTCGGAAATTTGATAAAATATGCTAAAATAGTTGAAAATTTTTCGGATTTTGCATATGTAAATAGCTTTTTTAGAAATCAGTTCATTTGAAAAAATACTCCAAAATAACTGGATAATTCTCGAATTTCGCATGCGTAAATAGTTTTTTATTATTTTTTCTCCTAGAAATCAAAAAATTAACTCGGAAATTTAAAAAAATACGCCAAAATAGCTGGATAATTTTCGAATTTCGCATGTGTAAATAGTTTTTTATTTTTTCCCCTAAAAATCAAAAAATTGACCCAGAAATAGGAAAAATGCACCGAGATAGTTGAAAAACTCCCGAATTTTACATGTGTGAATAGTTTTTCGTTTTTTCGCCCTAGAAACCAAAAAAATTGATCCGAAATTTGAAAAAACACGCCAGAATAGCTGAAGAAAAACTCGAATTTTTGCTTGTTTAATGATAAATGTCCCAATGAAGAAGTTGCCGTTTACGTGGACAAAAGTTCAGGTTAAAAAGTAAAATTTGTCCAAAGTATTTCGAGCAAGTAAAATGTGCAAAAATTTCAGATTCATGCGAACTGTAGAATTCGACGAATCTATTTCGCAGATCATTTGTATTCGGAGGATGAGCTGCCTGCTGAATTCAAATTGTATTTGCCTATAAAAGGTGCAACCCATGGTTTTGGCTCATCCTCAATCAGTGACGATGATCCAACAATCGCTGGAACTTCATGTAATTATTAAACTCAATTTTCAGGAAGCTTTTTTGAAGTTAGCATATTTTTTGAATTTTTTTTTTCTGATGCGAAATATTGAGACCGAAACAGTGGATCCAGATATTGTCCATACTGACATAGGTGGATCCAGGACGGTTTCCCTGGAGGCGGGAGGGGGGTGGATTTTTCACCTTCCCTTCTTCGTCATTCCTTCCCCCCCCCCCCCC